CAGCTCACCTGAAAGTCCTTCCTGTGAGCTAATTTCAGTCTCTTCTAAAGCAGTGTATCTAGTGTCATGGAAAGTGCTAAGCCGTGCTGAGGCCAGACTCTGCTGCCGCTTGTTAATAATGTGTCCTCAAGCATAGCACTTAGCCCCTGTGCAGAGTGCCCGCCTCGCTATGAGGATTTAAGGAGCTCTCGTGCAGAAAGGCACCTGCAGGTGTGACCGTCAGCCTGCAAAGGAGCAGGTCAACCTTTTTAGAAAGGCAGACTGTAAAAGTTAAAAATACAGTATGTGCCAATTGTGGAAACCCTGCAACGACAATGCAATTAGAACAATAGTCACCCGGAATATTAGTGCAGGGATATTGTGTGTTCCAAACCCCTCATTTTACAGATGAAGAATCGAAGGCCTGGGGAGATTCCCTGACTGCCTGAGATCTCACGATGGCAGAACTCAAATTTGATTTTCTGCCCTTCAGGGGGGCACTTCTCTTACTATAAGAATTATTGACTTTTGTGCCCAAGGAAAATTTCACATCCATCTCCCTGCCATGATGTTGGCCCACTACCCCGTTCAGATCCCTTTGTGTAATAACTTTGCCACATCCCTGGTAAGTCCTTTCTTATGCTATCCTTGGTCTCTCATGCTGTTAGGAGTTCCAGATTTTTTTGGTCCTTCCTGGTGGGTATCTTTCTAGATGACTTCTCTCAAGGTTGGTTCAGGAGAGTCCCCCTTCGTCCCAGGACGGCTTCTGCAATGAATCCTTCTCCCCTGGCCCCTCAAACCACTGTACATGGTAGGTAGTAGCCTGAATTCAGTGAAGACAGCTGCAGACTTAAGCTGGACACTGACGTCTGCAGGTGGTTTCAACCACATCCAGACCACATATTGCCTTTGTCCCCATAAGGCCCAAGAGAAGGGGGACCATGTCTATTGCTTAACTCTGGATCCAGAGCCCCAGGCACAGTGGCTTGGACAAACCACTCTGGCCCCTGCTCAGTGGCCAAGTGACCACTGGTGTAGAAATCACTCTGTGCAGTCCAGGAGGCTCCCCCAGGGGGCAGTCTTCCTGTATCACACTCAGCCAACCTGCCTGGACACAGGGAGCACCTCCTTGCCATGTTGAGCAGCTGTTTGGCTTCAAATGCATTGAATACTCACGCAGCAGCCCTTTGCTCACAAGATGTTCTCTATCCTCACTAGAGGGTCTGTCTGCCCTTAGTTCTGTTTCTGTGTTTTCAATTTGTCTCCCACACCAGACTAGGCAGCTTCTGACCCTATTCTTGTCTTTCTATCTGTGTCCTAGAGATATGACTGCCTCTCCCTCTGGACTGAGAGCTTCTATGGGCCTTTCTCTGACTTCTGCCTCAGTGCCCAGACTGAGTTCTGAGCATGAATGGAGTTCAGGAAAGGTGAGATCAAGGACACCTACCTTGTCAATGAAGGCAGCGAACCTGCTGTTGAGGCACTTGATCTGCTCCTTCTCCTCCTGCTTCACGCACTGTGCATTGGGGTCGATCTCCAGGTTGAGGGGTGCTAGGAGGCTCTCATTGACTGACACGGTGGTGATGCAGGGTGGGCTGGGGCCACACACGCCACCGGAGCGGTACCCAAAGCTGCGGTCACAGGAGCCGGCACGGAAGCCCCCGCAGACACTGCGGCTGCCGAAGCCCCCAGTGAGGCCGCGGTAGCAGGAGATGCCGCGGTAGGGGGCGGCCGTGATGCAGCAGCGGCCGGGCCGGGGCCCGCAGGCGGAGACGCAGCTGAAGGCACGGCCGCTGAATCCACAGCCCACGGAGCTGAAGCCACAGGTCATGGTGGAGGCAGGGAGATGTCTGAGCAGTGGAGAAGCTGGCAGAGGATGGAGCCAAAGGCTTGTGCTCCCTGGGCTGTGGCAGGCCCTTTTATGCACCAGGGCAGCTGGCAGTAAAAGGGGCAGCAAAGAGACAATAGCTGCATTTTATTGGCTTGGCATCACCCCGGCCTCTTAAGAGCCAACCCGCTTGCCTATTCAGTGGAGCTGTGTCAACAATCCTGGCCAACGACTTGTTTCATCTTCAAAGCCCTTTACGAGCTTCCTTATTGCCTCTCCCCCTCCCATTGCTACTGGATGTGCAGACCTCCTGGAAGCATCTAGCTGGACTCCATGCTACGAATTCAGGGAATGGGCATAGGGACCTGGGTGGAGCTTGCTCTCCAAATCCTTTTCTGGAAGGGGCATAGGGGATGGGTGGGCTATGGGCCCTGAAACTATGACCTGGCCTCAAGGGTAGAGTGGCTGGCCTGTCCCAACGAGGGGGCTGTGTCCCAAACAATCTCTTGTTCTGGGCTTTGCCTTTTTCTCTAGCTCTCAAAGCATGTCCCTTTCTTCACTGTCCATATAAGCTTCCCCTGACCTGTTCCTATGCAGAGCTTAGTCAGAGATGGGGGTGGGAGGAGAGATTTGGGAGGGAGCAAGGCCCCTGCATTGTGGGTATTCTTCAGAAGAAGGAGCCATGGGGCACCCACTGGAACATGAGAGAAACGAGTCAGAGAGTTCAGGAGAGAACCAGGGCCATTCTTCAGAGTTATAGGCATCACTGCTGATGGGCTAGGGAACAGGAGCGGATGTGGAAGACCCCAGGGCTGCAGGGATTGATCAGGGAAGGCTTCTTGGAGGTGGGTTTAAGGAGGGCTGGGGTAGGGTGCGGACAGGGTTGGTGGGAGATGAGTAAAGAGTCCCGCTCTGATTTGGACACTAGGCTATGTCATCACTCATCCCCTCAGTTATTCAGTACACTGTAATCAGGTGCCAACTCTGCTCTAGACACTTCCTTGGTCCTGGGAATCCAGCAGAGACCTGAGGTATTTGGAGATAGGTGAGGATGGCAGGTCTCCGGGTACTTGCCCAGTGGGAGAAAGGGGAGAAGCCACAGATGGGCCCTCGATGCTAGGACTGAGTCGGGGCCTGATGTGGGGGATGGGAGTCCTGTGGGTTCCCAGCAGGGAAGATGAGTGATGACCACTGGTGTGTACACACCCCCAGAGAAGGATGATCAGTGCTGGAGGTGGGGGAGGCCACCAGGGTCCTGAAATGGTGTCACTTCCTCCTGGCAGAGGACCCGTGGGGTAAGCAGAGGTGGGGGCTCATGTGGGTGTCCTGAGACTCAAGCTCCCTTAGTTTGCCCCTCCTCACTTTGGGCTTGGACTACTGATGGCTTTGACAGGTGGACAGTGGGACCAAGCCAGGAGGCTCCCCTAACCCCAAGATTTGACCCCATAAACCTTTCCAAGCGCATGTCTCTTAACCGCCCTTGTACTTGAGGATGACTCCTCTGTTCGACCTGTTTCCTGACTGGCTGCAACCAAATGCTGAACCAGGCTGGGCTAAAAATAGCCCTTCATGCGTCCTCCCAGAGCCTCACCTTTTGCCCTTCCCAGTGCCTCTTGGGGCGAGTGGGCCAGTTATGTCCCAGGGGGAGGGAGGGCCCATCTTTTCCAGAAGGTCAGGGGATGAGAGAGCTGTGGAGATGTCAGGGGACTGGGCAATGCCCACGTGCATCCTAAAGAAAGGACCCGACCAGCCCCTCCTCCTGAGCCCTGTGGATAGATTTCCACAGACTCTTGCGTCTGGGGTGGGCTATGGGATAGGGGCTTCTGGTGTGAGAGACACACAGAGAGGCGAGGCCTGGGGGCTCGAAGTTGGCTAATTCCAGCTGAATGGCCTGCGGGATTTTTGGAGCGCTTCTGTGGAAGGTGTGGCTGGTTGGTACTTTCAAGCTCGGCTTTGGCTGGGTCCAACGTCTGCCAAGAGAGAACCAGATGTTTCTCTCCTCTTGTCTCAGCTGGAACTGGTGGGCCTCAGGAAGGTTCTCATTGCATATCCAATGGTTATGTGAGATGAATTCTTGATCAAATGCTGAGGGAGGCAAGGTGGCGGGTCTTCCACGAAGCATTTCTCTGTGACCATGATGATGATTGGCATCTCTGTCCTTTGATCGCTCATCTGTCTCAACCCAGCGGGCTCCGTATCAAGTTGGACCCTCCACTGAGGGTCTCTGTGTGGTCACACCTGCCTCTTTGGGTTGGAGGCGCCACTAGTGCCCGCAGGCTCCTGTCTTGCTGGGAGATGATGATAGCGAGGACTCTGGAGATTAAATGGCCACTTATTAGCTTTGTGACCTGAGACAAATTACGTTTCCCCAGGTCCCTTACTGTAGCTGAGAGGATTAAGTGAGTGCCTGGAGGCGGGAGGGGCCACCCCCACCCCACCGCATGCCGACTAGGTGACTGGTCTGTTTTACGCTGTAGGACTTTGCAAAGGGACAGCGAGCACAGGCTGTGAAGTGTCATCCTTGCATGAGCAGGAAACAGCCCAGCACCTTTACAAGGCAATTGTGGCCAACTTAAAAAAAAAAAGCTTTAATTAGAGCACCTATTTATCAATGGCCCAGAACAAAGAAATATGAGACCAAGTGAGTCCCATGAAAACAGACACAGATAGGAGGTTGACAAAGGGACAGTAGCCACCTGCCAGACTGCTCCCTTCCACCTGGGCTTCGGGCTAGACTGGTTCCTGCCCTCATCATGGGCTATAAAGGCTGGGATCAAGCCCCAGGCTGGCTCAGTCGCCAAGGCCTGGGCCCCGGGCCTGCCCTTCACACGGCTGGCCCGGCTGGGGCGGCCTCGGGGCTGGCCCGCCCCTGCTGCCTGCAGTGACAGCCCTGTAGCTCTGGTCCTTTCACTCCTGCCCTCCTCCCTGGGCTTGCCAGCACCACCAGGCCTTGCTCATAACTGTGTTTTCTGGTGATCATCTGCCTGTCTGCCTGGCTTCTGACCTGCGGATACTCTGGCTTTTTGTCACTTCTTCTTGCCTTAATATCTACGGGTCTTTTAAAATTTTGTCCCTTCTTCATGGATTTTTGATAAACAACTCTGCGATGGACACCCCTAAATATATTTCTGTGCACATCTCTACAAATTTCTTTAAAATAAGTGACTGGAGGTAGAATCACTGGGTTCAAGAGGACTGTCCTGGCCTGGAATCGAGGAAGCTGCTGCGGTGAAGCAGAGGATTTGAGAGTCAGGAAATGTGGATGCAAATCCCATTTCTGACTCTGGCTAGCTGCGTGACAAGTTAGTCCATCTCTGTGCCTTTGTTTCTTCACGTGTAATTTGAAGACGAGAATGCTGGCCTCCTGGGCCTCCGTGAGGATGAAATGAAGTGGTCTGTGTGAAAGCGCCCCGAGGCTGAGCCCGCACCGCCTGCTGCCCAGGACGGGGACTGCCGTGCCTTTGCCTGCTTTCCTCTGTAACCTCAGTTGCCGCCTCCAGTTGCACCAGCTGGCCTTGAACTTGCAACACACTGAGGCCAACGGGCTGGAACTGATAAAACGTGGCACCTTCACATACTCCACAACTTGTCTGTTCAACAGGTACTATGTGTTGCAGGGGCTGAGGAGGAGTTTAGCACACATCTCTGTCCTCCAGGAGCTGAATGCTTAGTCGGGTAAATTTGTAAATAGGCACAAGTTAAACGGGGAGTAGATACAATAGTTTTTCAAGGCAGTTCATGATTGACTGTCAGTTACCTGACGGAGTGCGTCTTGTCTGTTTCAGGGGTTGAGGGAGGAGCTTACTGCGGGCTGGTGTAATCAGGGAGGCTCTGTGGGAAAAGTTGGAATTAAGCTGGGCTTTGAAGGATAGGAAGGGCCTGAGAAAGTTGGAAGGGTGGAGGCACTGCCAGGTAGAGGATGGCAGAAAAACACAGAAATATTCAAAGGGCAGCGGATGAGCGCTGGTGGCTCTCAGAGGGTGTCACACCTGAAGGATGAACTTCAGGCATGTCCCAGTGAAGACTGGGAACAGGTCAGGGATGCCTGTTCTCAATGCCATGCTTGACATACTGGAATTCCTGGCTAAGGAAATAAATATGTACAAGCATTAAAAGAGATAGGACGGGCATTATTTGTAGACAATGGGATTAGCTACATAGAAAACCCAACAAAAATCAACCAATAAACTCTAGAAATAATAGGATGAGTTGAGCAGTGCTGCTAGTTACAAGGTCAGCTTACAAAAATTAAAAATGTTTTTCTACATCAGTGACAATCAATTAGAAAATAAATAGAAAAATAAAATTACCATCCCTAAGAGTGATAAAGACAGTGGAGTAGTTGCGATATAACAAGATAGTCATACAATCTCTTTGGAAGATTATGTAAAACTCTACTGTTAAAAAAATAACAAGAAAATCTAAGTAAAATCATATCATATTCAGAAATAATTTGACCTAATGTTTAAAGATATCAGTTCCCTCTAAATTAATTTATAAGCACAATGCAAACCCAATAAAAATTCCAGCTGAGTTTCTTTTGAGGGACTGGATAAAATCAATCTAATATTTATACAAAAGAATAAAGGCTAATTAAAGTAAAGTCAGTTGTGACAAGGAAATCACAGAGGATGTGTGAGGATTTGAGAGCCATGGTAATAAAAAAGTCGGGTATCTGTGCAGGTGCAAGTGAACGGACCACTGGAACAGAGGAGGGAGCTCAAAACAGGCCCTTTAATATAAGGGAGACTTGGTATTTGATGAAGGTGGCAAAAAGCAAAGGGCTATTTATCCAGCTGGTGAGATGAGTAAAAATAGAGTCACTATATGGGAAACATAGAGCTGGATTCCAGCTTGTACCATATGCCGTGGGAGACCTCGATGAATGCAAGTGCTAGACATGAAAGATGAGAGTGTAAAGCATACAGAAGACTATGTCAGGGAATATCCTTGCAACCTACGTGGGGGGGGGGGAAGGCTTCTTAAGAAAACCTTAAAAATCAAAACCACAAGGTAAAAAACATTGACATGATCACATCAAAATTAAGAATTCCAGTTCGATGAAAGACTATGGAGAAAAAGTTAACAGACACTTGATAGCCTGGGAAAAGCTTAATATCTACAACACGTAAGGAGTTCCTACAGAACAACAAGTGAAAGACAGGAAGCCTGGTGCGATGTTAGGCAAAGTCTGCACGGACGGTCCCCCCATGGGAAAGGCCAGCAGCTAACATGTGCGTAAGGAGAGGAAGCTCTCGTCAGTCCCGAGAAGATGCAGACCAGAGCCATGAGGCAGCTTTCTACCATCAGAATGGCAAGGATTAGAAAGTGGGTGCTGCCAACTATGGGTGGAGAGTTGAGAGGACGGGGACCCTGGTGTACTGGAGGTGGGGTGAGGGCCGGTGCAGGTGTTCCGGAAAGCAATGTAGCACTCTGCAGTGGATTTAGGCATGTGTAAACTCTGTATGACCCAGCAACCCCACTCCTGAGAGGAGTCCAGCCCCATATCTGAGAGCAGTTCTCATGCAAGGACAAGACGATTCATGGTGGCATTATCTGCAGCGGAAGGAAGTGGGAAGCAGCCGAGGTGGCACACAAGATGATAAAGGTGTATTATGGAAGTTGAAAGCAAGAAGTTGATGTACCTACAGACCACATAGTGTTGAATTAAACAATGTCAAAACCATACTGTTTACATAAATAAAACAGACGCCCCACGAAAGCACTGCTGCTTATTTTACATGGATGAGTACGTGTCTGGGGATGATGTCACATGCACTACAGTGGATGCCTTTGGTGCGGACAATGAGAGGATGGATGAGAAATGGGGGAAACAGATCAATAAAACAGAGAAAGGGCTTCAGTGTGCTGATGAGGACAAGGTTCCAAGAACTGGAGAGGGTGAAGGACTCAGCTCTCTGCCCAGGAAGTCCAAAAGAAAAACCAGAAATAAAGCAAAGAAAGTGGGAAGGACCTAGGAGATGAGTTAGAGAGCTTCCTTGGGGCCAGCTGGAGGACTGGGCTGAGGAGCCTTCAGACATCTGCTGCTGAGCCGTGGATGCCTGGATAGATGTGTCTCGGAAGCAGACTTTTAGGGAGCTGAAACTGTCAAGGCAAAGGATGGGAGGAGGAAAGCCTGGTACATAAGACCTGTTAGGAAGTCAACACGTTGGGGTGCTGAGCACTCTAATGGAAGCTGCTGGGATAGTGACAAATCCAGCCTGGGAAGAGCCAGGGAAGCCACACTTTGTGTCCATCAACCTGGGCAGGCTTCCTGGAAGAAAAGGGCTTTCCCCATCATGGCACTGGGTGCCTTCAGCAGCCAGGCTAGGGTGCCCTCTAGTGAGGAAGCATGGTGAGCCTGACAGTCCAGGAGCATCTTCTCTCCCAGGGATCTGTCCCAGAGCAGTGACTCACACAGCCCCATGTTCTTGTCGGAGCCACAGAGCTCAGGGTTTTGGTCTGTGAAATGAGTTGCCCGTTAGGCAGGTGTGATGCAGTGGGATGAGATCCTAGAACTAGACAGGAAAGGGGTAATGATAAGTGTTTCTGGACCAAGTTTTCTTCCTGTTTGACTCTTGAAATTTCTCCTTCTCTGGCCAGCCTTCTGAGTTGTTGGAACTGAAACTCTCGAGGATACTGCGTCCCACTGCACCCTCCAGGCAGCTAACTGCCTCCCAGTCTCATGGACCAGGTTGGACAGCCCTGGAAGTGGCCCTTAGGTAGAGCCCAGAGCTGAGTCCCCTGTCACTTCAGCCCACTGGTGTCCTCACCTCTTTCAGCATCCCCCGGCATCAGCCCTATCCTCCTTACTAAGTGCATGAGGGTACAGCTGCCTGACACGTCCCCTCCCCTCTCCCCCAGCAAGACAGACACCAAACCTCCTCTTCTTCAGGACTCCTCCCAGGGCTGGCTCTCAGGATCCAGGAGTCTCTGATACCCAGGCAGGTGCTGTCTTGGCCAGCACCGGAAGCAGCAAGGGGGCTGAGACTGGGGACCCTTCCTCCCATGTGGTCTGAGTAGCAGAGAACAAGGGTGGTCACCGCTCTGGACACCTGTGTCTGTGGATGCTGCCTGAGCATCCAGGAGCTCCTTGAGACAGAAAAATGAGCTGTCTGCTGACCACTGCCCAACTCACAGATTCACAAGTAAAACAAATGTTGGTTCTTAAACCTGGTAATTTTGGGGTGGTTTATTACACAGCCGTAGTTACTGGAACAGACATCTTGACTGGATTCCATAATCTGCAACCACTCTTGATTATTAAAATCACCTTATTCTTATGGTAGCTCACAGAGAAAGGAATGTGACAATGAATATATATATATGTTCATGTATAATTAAAAAATTGTGCTCTACACTGGAATTTGACACAACATTGTAAAATGATTATAAATCAATAAAAAATGTTAAAAATAAAAAATCATCTTATTCCAGAATTTAAGACATTTTAAATTCATTGTAAAATTTCAGTTTTAAGTTCTGCTCAAACCCCTTCTTTCTCCCCACCCCTAAACTACCTCTTCCCGATGCCAGGCTAGACTGGTTAACTGGTTATGGCTCTAACAGCTTGGCTAGGTAGGGCTGGGTCTTCTCATCACCCACCTCCACCTTCTTTTTGAAGATTTTCAGCATGTGTTGCATCAGGGGGAAGCATCGTCGAGCAGGGCTCTGCCTAGGTGACAGCTGGTGGGGGGAGGGGCAGGCTCCGTGACCGCCTCTAAAATTGGGTGGTGGCCCCAAGAGCCTGTTGTCTGAAGGTTGAATCCCACGAGGTCTCCCATCACTGGTGCTGCCTTGCAAGACTTCACCACATCTTGCCCTCCATGCTGCTGCGCCCTGGCAAAACTGTGACCCTTCCATGTCAGCCATCCTTCCAGACCATCTTTGGGGCCTGTGACTGTGAGGAGTGGTGGCTGGGTCTAATGTGTAGCTCTCTTGGAACTTGGAAGGGGACTGACATCCTTTTGTGCTCAGCCTTGGGACCTGGCTGCCATTCTGGGATGACAGGAAAAACTCACTAGCTCTTCACCACCATGATGGCTACCTTGGTTTATTGTATGTCTGCCTCATGGCTTTTTCATGGCTACTTGACCATAGAAATCAGATACTTTCCCATCAGATGTAGAGGACTCAGAAATGTTGTCCTGATCCCCCACCTTCTTCCTCACTAACGTGATGCTCTTCTGATAACCCCACGCCCCAGAAGCTCTGCTCCTGCCTCCCACCTGCCTGGGATGGAACTGTGTCCCTGCCCTTCTTGTCCTGGTCCCAGGTTCTTACTCTGCGTGGGCTGCCTGTCCTCTCCCTGTCTCAGAATGTCTCACTTAGCTTGAAACTGTCTTAGAAGCAGGGATCTAATCTGAAGGCAGGTTGATCTGGAATGGTAAGCAAAAGCGGTGTTACAGTTAAACTTTAAATACTTAAGTTTGACCCCAAACTTCTGCACGTATGGAAACTTTCCTAAAATCTCTTACTGATACTGTGGCACTGACATGCATCAGATGTGATGTGAGGCTGACCCAGTAGATCAGGGTCACAGAGGCCATTGTGTAGTCCCTCCTTTCACAGAGCAGTGAATGGCTCAGAGAGAGGGTGAGTGGCCGGCCTCCTGCCCCACGGTCAGCTCAAGGCTGAGATGGAGCCAGAGACACCAGCTCCTGCTGTGAGGCCAGCGCTCTCTCCCTGATGTGTCCCTGCCTGGTTTCAAGTCAGCCAGCAGAAGAGGGACCATGTCCCTTGGTACAGTACCTGAGTGTGACACTGTTTCACAGTCACATTTAATGAGACCTGCACACCAACCCCAGCTTTGTGTCGCACACCAGAGGGAGCGTGACGCGTGGAGTAACTCGCCCCACACTGAAGGACCCACTGTGCTGTCTCCTAGTACACGTTGGCTTGAGATGCCTGTGGGACCCCAGGGGGAGGTAACAGCAAGGCGATCGTTTTTGGAGCGTGCAGTGCTAGGTGCTCACTGTGCTGAGTCCCTTGATGACTGTCTCACTGCGTTTCCTCGACAAGCCCGGGCAGGACTGGGACTGGGGCTCAGTGCGTCATGCTGCTCAGGGAAGGGCAGCTGACATGCTCTCCGCCACTCTATGGCCTTTTTTGCTCATTCCTGATGCAAAACTTGCCTTGTCTGGTGAGATGTCTTTACGTAAGACCTCCAGGGAAGCAGAGTTTTCTTTACACCAGATGCTCAAGTTGGAAAGCTTTTTGCGGAGGTGTTAAGTGCCAGTTGTCATCCCTGTGCATGTGGGGGATGTGCTGAGTGCTTGTCATTAAGCCAGGAATAGTGACAGCTGAGGACTCCCAGTCTCTGCCCGTGCCCCTGGCTCTCATGTCAGGCTTCCTGGGGACAGTCAGCCAGCTTGGTGTGGGGCTTAGGAGACCCAGGTTCTGCCTGAGTGGGCTGCTTACCCAACACGAAATGTGGAGACACCTTTGACTCCTCTCCTTCTTTTACATCCTGAATCCAATCTATTAAGAAATCTGGTTGGTTCTTTCTTCACATTCCACCCAAAGCTGGCCACTTCCACACTCCCTAGGCACGAGCCTCTGCCATCTCCCCAGGCTTCCTGCAGGACCCACTGACCCTTCTCCCTCCTTTCACACCACCGCCTCCCTGGCAGTCTGCTTTCCAGGCAGCCGTCCCATCATTTAACACGTCAGCTCATGTCCATTCTCTGCATCAAGCCCCCAAGCTCTGCCCTGCCCTCGATGGGAGCTGAAGTCCTCACATGCCTACTGTTCCCCATGATGGGCATGGAGCCCTCCCTCCATGTAGCTCCTGGATTCGTCCACACTGGGAACTTACTTTTGTTGCTCAAAACACACCAGACCTGTTTGCACCTGGGGCAGCCACCCTGGCTCTTTCCTCTGTCCACGTGGCTCATCCCCTCCCCTCTTCAGCATCTTTGCTCCATGTCACCTTCTCGGCGCAGCCCACTCTGACCACCCAGTGAAAATTGGACCCCAGCTCTCTCCCAGCTCTCCTGATTCTCCTTGCCCTGTTCTATTTCTTCTTTCCATAACGCGTATCACCATCTGATATATAATTTATTCATTTATATGTCTATTGTTAATCTCTCCCACTGGAATGGAAACCCACAAAAGTATACAACTTCATGTGTTTTTTTCACATGTGTGTCCCAAGCTCAGAGAATGGTGCCCGGCACATAGTAGTTCTTCAATAAAAACTTGTTGAATGAAAGAAAGAGACCAGCATGAGACAGGCCCCTTCCAGAGCATCAGTTTTTAAATTCCAGTTTTTATTTCGCTTTCCTTGCTCAGTGAATCTGCACAGAGGAGCTGCCTCGCCTTCCGGCTCACGCAACTCTTTTCCCCACCAGTTAGGATTAGTGTGGAGCTGTGTTTCTGTGGCCACAAGAGTAAAAGCCTGGAGTAAGCCTGGAGTAACTGCAGGAATTCAGTTCGCAGGGGTCTCCTCATCCCACCCCGTGACTTGGTTCATCTTTGGAGCTCTGTCCTCCAGATGCAGAGAAAAAGCCCTCATCTTAGACTGGTGCTCCTGGGGGTCCTGCTCCCTCTGATCCATCCCTAAACTCCCCATATGGAGTGGGATTCTGTCCTCTGTGTTTCCTGCTATGAGCTGTATGTGTGTGTGTGTGTGTGTGTGTGTGTGAGAGAGAGAGAGATAGAGCGTGCGTGAGCAGAAAGCCCCCCTACTTTGGCTCTTTTCTAATGCTCCCTCCCTGAGCCTGTTTCCTGAAGAGGATGCTTTGGAAGATTATTTATTGTTCTCGACTTTGTGTGCAGATTCCTGTAACGAGAGCATTGCTTAAGGGTCTGGGGAGCTGGGGGTTTGGCATCACAGTAGTTGGGGCTGCCAACGGTACTCTATCAAAAAGGCAGGCACTTTTCCCCATTTCTGTCCCCATCTTCTGGGCTGTGTGGCATCTTGTAAGATGGGATAGGAGGCAGGGGATGAGCAGCACTGGCCAAGGGCCTTGGCTTCTGGAGGGAGCTCAAGCACTGGGCAATTTCTTTCGGTGTCAGGCTTGCATAGTGGCTCTGCCTGGCATCCCCACTTCTGTTCTCTGCCAAATCTGACCATCCTCTAGGACCTGCCTTGGCTTGTACCTCCTTTGTGAACCCAGCCAGCCCTGAGTGAGTGGCCCTCCTTGGAAAGCCAGGAGGACTCCTGTTGCCTGATCAATCATCTTTCCTTCTCTTGCCACCAAACTTTCCTGCCTCTGTCTGGCCTCCCCATGAGGTCCAGGTTCTTCAAGGCAAACTCTGTTCACTCTCCTTATTTCCCTTAACATCTAGATCAAGATCTTGCTCTGGTGGGACTTGAGCACTTGCCTGAGAATGAAGGCATCTCCTCCAGGCTTGGCCCACAGTGAAGTCAATCAGTGTTCATGCATGAGATGGAGAAGCTCTCCACCTACTGGCTGTTCCCTCCTGTGTCCAGTATATTCAATTCAAGCAATGCTTCCTGAGGGCCTAATACATGCTGGGTGCCACGAGGAGTAGAGAAGTAGATAAGGCATGATTTCTGAATCAAGGGGGCAGTAGTAGCTCTGATAAATCCATTTTAATACGGAATGCAGTTGTGCAGTGAATGACCTGCGTGACTCCGCGGTCAGCTTTCTTGCGCTGATGGAAGGGAAGAGTGGTTGGACAACAAACAGCATCCCAGCAGCGGGATGTCTGACACCTTCAGCAACAGCAGGGAAAGGCTTGAAGATGATCATTCATGCATGCTCATCCTGAGGGATGCGCCAGGTGCCCCTGCAGCCTTAGGGGGAAAGGTATGCTCTGCCTAAAAGGACGGGCCCGGAGACCTTAGTGGGATACAGACCATTCGAGTCTCAGGACTGTGCTGGCCCAAGCCTCCACTTGCCTCTGTGGGATGATGCTCTCAGGTCTGCTCACAGGGCTGCGGGGGAATCAGGGGCTCCGCAGATGTGTCTAGGCCTGTGGGGTTGAGAGGGCAGGGGCAGGTTTATTGTGATGTGGGGGTCTCCTCGTTACGCCTATTAAAGGAGGCAAGTTCCAGCTTTCCTCACTGCCTGCCTTGCGGGAGATTCCCACGCTCATAAATGGCACTAATAACTTTCTCCTGCCTTTTATGTTGTCGGGCGGCCTATCATCTGCCTGATAAAAGGCAGGCGTGTTAGCGATCTTGATCTCCGACGTGGGCCCCGGTGTCCTTTGGTCCTCCCACATCCACGTTCCCGGCACCGTTCTGCCGAGCTGAGCCATGGCGAGCCGTTCCTACCGCGTCAGCTCCGGCTATGGGGTCCGGAACTTCAGTTCCTGCTCGGCCATTGTGCCCAAGCCTGGGGGTCACAGCTTTGCCAGTGGCCTGGCTTTCCTCAGGGTCAGTCCTGGGCGACCAGGCTACAGGCGTCTCGGGGGCTTTGGCAGCCGGAGTCTGTGTGCGACGGGGTCCCCGCGAATCGCGGGGAGTTGTGTGCGGCCCCTCTGCAGTGGGAGCAGCTTTGGCTACCGGGCAGGGGGCCTCTGTGGCCCCAGACCGCCCTGCATCACCACCGTGTCAGTCAACGAGAGCCTCCTGGCGCCCCTCAACCTGGAGATCGACCCCACCGCGCAGTGCGTGAAGCACGAGGAGAAGGAGCAGATCAAGAGCCTCAACAACAGGTTCGCCGCCTTCATTGACAAGGTGGGTCTCTGGGTTGTTCCCTGGGGCTGTGGCTTAGGAAGGGGCAAGGGACTTGGAACCCAGTGATGAGCTGGGTTCAGATTCTTGGAGTCCCGCCTGGCTACCAATTAGCACGTGGCCCTGGGAACATGGCTGAATCAGACGCATGGTTTTCTTTCTTTCTTTTTTTTTTTTTTAACATTTTTTATTGATTTATAATCATTTTACAATGTTGTGTCAAATTCCAGTATTCAGCACAATTTTTCAGTCATTCATGGACATATACCCACTCATTGTCACATTTTTTTCTCTGTGAGTTATCATAACATTTTGTGTATATTTCCCTGTGCTATACAGTATAATCTTGTTTATCTATTCTACAATTTTGAAATCCCAGTCTATCCCTTCCCACCCTCCACCCCCCTGGTAACTGCAAGTCTGTATTCTCTGTCTGTGAGTCTATTTCTGTCCTGTATTTATGCTTTGTTTTTGTTTGTTTGTTTGTTTTTGTTTTTGTTTTTTAGATTCCACATATGAGCGATCTCATATGGTATTTTTCTTTCTCTTTCTGGCTTACTTCACTTAGAATGACATTCTCCAGGAGCATCCATGTTGCTGCAAATGGCATTATGTTGTCGGTTTTTATGGCTGAGTAGTATTTCATTGTATAAATATACCACATCTTCTTTATCCAGTCAAAGCTACAATGAGGTATCACCTCACACCAGTCAGAATGGCCATCATTCAAAAATCCACAAATGACAAATGCTGGAGAGGCTGTGGAGAAAGGGGAACCCTCCTACACTGCTGGTGGGAATGCAGTTTGGTGCAGACACTATGGAAAACAATGTGGAGATTCCTCAAAAGACTAGGCATAGACTTACCATATGACCCAGGAATCCCACTCCTGGGCTTGTATCCAGAAGGAAATCTGCTTCAGTATGACACCTGCACCCCAATGTTCATAGCAGCACTATTTACAATAGCCAAGGGGCATGGTTTTCAAATGTTACCATGAGACTCAAAAGCAGTGCTGGATGTGAAACCACCAGACAGAACAGGAATATTTATTGCTGCAGCTTACCCAGCCCAGCAAGAGCGTAGTGTGTGCCTGTGGCCCCATCTCCTGGATCTCAGCCATCACACAGTGAGGGAGGTGGGTAGGATGGGCATCTCTGCTTAGGCTGGTGTCTGACCCCTCCTGGAGGAGATGCTGCCACCCCTAGTGTCCCCAGTGTGGACAGGGTAGCTGGAATAAGGAGGAGCCAGAAGCTCCTGTCCTGCTCCTCCCTGACTGGGGGATGTCATGGGAAGGCTGAGAATTTCCAGGACATCTGGCCCAGATGCCCTCCCCCACTCAACACTTACACAGATTAAAGACTACAAGATGAGAAACTTAAGAAGAGAGTCGTGGAGGGGCTGTCGAACTGCACTTTTCTGATGTTGCAGTCTCTGAGCCTGCCTTCTGGTGGGGTACCTAGCCCTGGCTTCCTCTGACCCAGTGATGGCCCTCCTGAGAGCCCGCAGTCTGATCTCTGGGGCAAGACAGCCACCGAGGTCCACTGGAGGAAGGGCTCACCTCCCAGAGCTAAATGGTGTGCACATCCCCACCCAGGAACTTCATAATAAGGCACACACCAGGGTGACGGGGGTAGGGGTGGTGGAAGCTTTGTTCCCAGACAAACATCACCAGTGGGAATAGGCACACCTGGCAAGCCAAGACGCTGGACATCCCTCCTAACATGCTGCTGGCTGTCCAATCCACTTTTCCCTTCCATCGGCAAAATGACGCTGGGCTTAGGATCACGTGCATCATTCATTACACAAGGACACCTACCAAGGGACGGGGGAGGTTGAAATCCAGCCCATGCTCTGCTCACTGGGCTGTGTGCCCTGGCAGGGGGGCTGCATCTACCTGGAGGTGGCATCTGTTTCTAATTTGCTCAACAGCACGGGGAGGGCCCTGAGCATGCAGACTTGAAGGAATCGTTGCCGTGGCCTTTTGGGCATCACCAGGGATGCAGTCCGCCCCCTCTGTTGTGAGGGGTCATTTCCAGTCTGGAGAGAGACTCACACGCTGCACCGGCTGGCTTTTCTTCCCCTAGGGGTGCAGACAGCCGCCCACCTTGTTCCAGCATCCTTCCTTTAGGATGAACTCCAGGTTGCAAACCATGTTGCTGTGGTGGGTTCAAGTGTGCAGAGCAGGTGAGCCAGAGGGTTTGGAAGCCCAAGGACGATGCCTCTTCAATAATAAGGGTTTTGATTCCTTTTCGCACAAGCACAGGCAGTTGAGAGCTGTTCTATACCAGGCCTGGGCTTCCAGAAATTTAGGGCTTGAGAGAAGACTGCCTAGTTTCGGGCTGGCAACTGCGTGCTGCCAATGCAGCCAAGCGGAGAGGCCTGCCTGCCGAGAGGTGGCGCTGCTGAGACTCACCTCCAGATACAGCCCAATGTTGCCCAACCTGCTGGTTTGTCTGGGTCAGGGAAATCCAGATTCTTGCCTGAAATCACTCACTTATTAAATGTTGGCAATGAATCAAATTTTTATAAAACAGTGTGCAGGCCAAATAAAACATGCCGGTGGGCCAGATAGGGCCTGGGGGCTGCCAGCGTTCCATTGCCGACGTATTCTCACTGCCTCAGTTTACAGTGAGGCTCAGACAGATAGAGATCCAGTGGACTGGTGAGTGGCAGAGTTAGGTAATGAGAAATCTCCAAATTCCTGGTCCAGAGTCCCCCTCCAGGGCTTCCTCTCCCCAGGGTGAGAGTGAGGAAGAGTCATGGCGGGTGCATGTTAAAATCACTGCCATAAAAATGCTCCCAAACTTGGCAGTTTAAAACAACCCAAATATATTATCTCATGAGGCTGAAATTAAGGTGTCAGCAGGGCTGCATTTCCCTCAGAAGCCCTAGGGGAGACCTACTTGCAGGGGCATGAAGGCTTTGGGCAGAATTGAGTTCCACGTGACTGGAGGACTGGCGTCTCTGTTTCCTTGCTGGCTGGCTGCCAGGGGTTGGCCTCTGCTTCTGGAGGCCACTGCATTCCTTGCCTCACAGCCCCTTCTCCCTCCATCTTCAAAGGTGCTAATGGTTCAGCGCTTCTCAGGTTTCAAATCCCTCTTCTAGTCCTGCTTCAGAGCATCTTTCACTCTTCTGTCTTCTTATTCCACTTTAAAAGGCCCATGTGACTACTGTGGGGCCACCTGGGTAATTCAGGATAATCTCCTAATCTTTGGGTCCATAACCTTGATTCCACCGGCACGGTCCTTTTTGCCAGGTAACGTGACATATTCACAGATTTCAGGGATTGGGATATGGACATCTTTGAAGGGCCATTTTCAGCCTATCACACATGGTCTGGGATATTTTTTGCAGGAACAGATGTTACAGCATTCTGTGCAGAATAAATAAATCACAAATAAATTGTGTCCTCTTCCTGGGAAATGGGACAGGATGAGGGGAAATTCTTTGGAGAACAACTGTGACCTGAATTTTCTGACTTGGCCAAATAATTTGGCCTCTTGGGGGAAGATCACGGGCTGCTGAAGATCAAAGGTCGTCTCCAAGGTCAGCGAGAGATCTGGGGGACTGGGCACCTCCCCGGGCTCCTCCTGAGTCTCTTTCTCCCGACCTGGGCGGCAGGTGCGCTTCCTGGAGCAGCAGAACAAGCTGCTGGAGACCAAGCTGCAGTTCTACCAGAACCGCGAGTGCTGCCAGAGCAACCTGGAGCCGCTGTTCGACGGCTACATCCAGACGCTGCGGCGGGAGGCCGAGTGCGTGGAGGCCGACAGCGGGAGGCTGGCCTCGGAGCTCAACCACGTGCAGGAGGTGCTGGAGGGCTACAGGAAGAAGTGAGTGTGGCCAGGCCAGGAGTGCTTATAGGTGTGGGGTGGGTCTTGGCTGGGTTCATACAACTTTCCTGGAGATGGAGATGGACATTTTTGAAATTCAGGGTCATCCCAGGCTACCTACCAGACGGTTCAGCTTTATCAGCCTGCTTCATCTTGTCTCAGCTCCCAGCTCTTGCAGCCTCATTCTGGGAACTGGGGAAAGATTTGCAGGGAAGAACTTCCATTCTGCGAGAGGTGGGTCACACATCTAGGGCACTGACTGACCCAGGGATGGAGAGAGAGGAACAAATGAAGCAGGAAGATGGAGATGAGCAGGGCTGGAGAGTAGAACTTGAAGCAGTCAGCGCTAGGATGGGCAGCGAGGCGAGGTCCCTGGGGAGATATCTTGAAGATGATCTGGCTGATGCCATTCAAGGTATCTGATCAACTTCGAGAATTCTTTCATTTGCTCTGCAGATAAATCACTGGGCTCTTGTTCTGCAAGGCTCCACAATTCAAAGGCCCATGGAAATCTTTGTTTTAACTTGGCTTGTTTAGCCTGGCTGTTACCTAGTTTAAACTCGCTGGGTCACTAGTAACTCCTTCTCCTTTATCTGGTAGGTGTGTACAGATTGAAGGGTGATTTTGACGTAATCAGTCCTTGTGATTCTACTTGGAAGAAATTGAAATTCTGGTCTTGGAAAAGCAGATTTTAACATCCAGATGGACCCAACAATGGGGTTTCACTTCCCCTGGGGGGATGCAAATGCAGACACAATTTTGTTTGCAGGTGTCAAGGTCCGTCTCCCACTCTGGGGGTGTGAGGGCCGGTAATTATAGAGCTCAGAGTTTACTGTAGCCCCAGTTACCCTGCCATTAAAAAGCTGTGAAAACCATGCTCTGGGAATCCTAGTCCTCCTTGTCATGCTGGGGCGGGGCTGCTCCAGGGACAAGACCTCACAGGCAGGAGCGAGAGAACGGCCCGGCTGGTGGAGGAGGGCTGTGGAAGTGCCCCCAGCAGTCCAGGCGTGATGGGTGGCTTCCATGACTTCAAGGCTTTGGATGTTGGGAGAGAGGGGAGGGAATGTCATGGAGTGGCCACATGGAGCTCTACATTTTGTAGTTTTAGGGTTGAAAGGTCCCTGGGAGTAACTGTCTTTCATTCACCTCACAAATATATTTACTGAGTGCCTGACCGCACACCAGGCAGGTTAACCCAGGATGCAGCCAGATTAAATGAAGAAGTTTTGCAGAGACTTCAGCCTAAGTTTGGACCGGAAACCAGGCACCTGGACTCCATAATCAGCGTTGTTTTGGTGGGTTCTTTGTGGCTGAGAAACAGAAGTCCAGAGAGGCTAAGCCTCTTTTCTTAAGACACACAGAAATTTGAGGGCAAGACCCAGGAGCCTTGAAAACTTGGGGCTTGGCTGGCCAGCCCAAGACCCTCATTCCCGGGGGCCTCTCCTCCTATCCTCTCTCTCCTCAGGTATGAAGAAGAGGTGGCTCTCAAGGCCACGGCTGAGAATGAGTTTGTGGTGCTGAAGGAGGTGAGTGACTTTTTCCACACGGGGAGGAAGTAAATCTTTCTGGGTTCTCTGAGACTGGGCATCTTACCGAGTTCGCGTCAGTCCAGTTGTGGTGGCCAGGCCCTCCAGTCCCCTGGCAGAGGGAGGCTTCTTAAAAAGAGACCTCATCATGCTGCTGTTTGGCTTTTTGTAAACTCCCTAATTTGCTGAAATGGTCACCTTCCAATCAGTTTCACTCTCTTGTGGACGTTACCTCCCAGAATCGAGTGGTATTGGTTCTCAACTTGCTAGTGACTGTGAACTGTGGCCCTCATTCAGCACAAGTGCAGACGATGAAAAAATCAGAGGAAAAAACTGCTAATGATTTCCCTTTGGTTTCAGATGGGTGTGTTGAAGTGTATGCTAATGCTCTTTAAAAAATGCTGTGCTTACCAGAAACACCTTAATTGTTAGTGATCACGGAATGGAGAGAGGGCTGGTAGAAAATCTGCCAGGAGAGGCGTGACCTTGGTCTCAGGCAGGAGAGTCAGCTGCTTGGGTGTTGGGTGGTGCCTGACCTGGGCATCAAGGACCACCTGCTGGGGAGGTGCCCCCACCCCCGGCTCTGTGGCCACCACACGGTCACACTCTGTGGGCCAGTTTGGCTTAGCAACAGCAACCTGACATTTTGGACTGTCTTACTAGGCTACTTAATTTTGTAGGATCCCTAATTCTGGAGGAATTGGAAAGAAGTCTGTAGGGGTCAGACTTCTCTCCACTTCCTATCCCAGGTGGTCCCACTGATGCTTATGTGATGGGAGAGGGGTGGGCCAGGAGATGGCCTCAGGGCCCCCGACAGAATGCAGAGGTCCGGGGACTCCAGTCGCCCCTGTGCCCCACTCTCCTGTGTGTCTCCACTAGGACATTGACTGTGCCTACCTGCGCAAGGCCGATCTGGAGGCCAATGTGGAAACCCTGAAGGAGGAGACGGGCTTCTTGCAGTCCCTCTACAACGAGGTGAGTCTCTCCCCATCTCACAGCAGGTGGGGGAAGGGGCAGAGGAGGGTGTCCTTGGTTTTCAGTTCTGGTTCCTTGGTTCTAGGAAGGGTTGTGCATTTCTTAGTCTTCGAGGGCCCCCACATCTTTTCCTTTTGTGACCAGAGGAGATTTTTCTCTTGTTCAGATATCCTTTTAAAATGGAAATGGGTGATGCTCTTCCTTTATAATGATTTGACTCTGATTCATTGCCTATTAATAGAAAGTGGAGATTTGACAGTACAGATAAAGGTGTATATATGATATATTCTGATTCCTCCAGAATTAGGGATCCTGCAGAAGTAAGTAGCCTAATATATATCTATATATAAATCATAGCTTATTAATTCAGGTGAAAACCCAATTAGAAAACCCAAGACTCTAAACCTATCTGTTACTTGGTGGATTGGATTTATAAATAGTCACAGCTGATCTGGATGGTTCAGACTCCAAGTGGAGTGACCCAGTTTGTCTCTGTCCATAGAAATCTATCTCTGTTGATCCAGGCACTAATGGAATTCCACCGTATTTATTGCCTTCAGATCATGGTTCAAATTCTAGACTTTTCTTCTTAAAGTGACACTTTAAAAAAATTTCCTGCCTTGCCAGTAGTTTTGTAATTCGTTTCCTGAAGTCAGAGTTAGAACTCATTTTTGGTATCCCCGCAGAGACGGGAATTGGAGGGGGTTTGGAGCTGAGAACACTGGGTGTTGTCTCCTACAGGAAATCTGCCTCCTTCAGTCACAAATCTCTGACACCTCGGTGGTGGTCAAGATGGACAACAGCCGGGAGCTCAACATGGACTCGGTTGTGGCCGAGATCAAGGCTCAGTATGATGATGTGGCCAGCCGCAGCCGGGCCGAAGCCGAGTCCTGGTACCAAACCAAGGTGACCTGGAGGGCCGGGTTGCCCACTGGGCAGGGAGGATCTCCGGAACCTGAGCTTCCCCCAGCAATGCACCCTTGTACTCAGAGGGGCTACGGTGGAGGTCCGAGCAGAGCAGGGGCAGGAGGTGGGACCATCCCAAAAGAACAGGGGGCTGGCTCTCCTTAGCGACATCTCAGCACCCTCTCCAGCCACCTCGCTATCATGGGCGGTTTCTGCATGTCTGTCTACCACCCCGCAGTGCGAGGAGATGAGGGCCAAAGTGACGCAGCAGGGCGAGAGCCTCCGCAGAACCAAGGAGGAGATCAATGAGCTGAACCGGATGATCCAGAGGCTGACGGCCGAGGTGGAGAACGCCAAGCAGCAGGTCGGCTGGCTGCTGCTTCTGGTCCTCCTTCTGCTTTCCTCCTGCCTTGAGGGGCTCCTGCTGTCTTTGGAGAGGCTTGTATTTTAACTACTTGCATCTAAGTAGTTAAAGTGCTCAAGACATTTAGGGAGCAAATTGGTCTGTCTACCTTCTCTGAATACTGCTCTCATTGCCTCTGTATCCCTTCACCCTTTTTCTCCTCTAAACACACTTTAGACCTTATGGTCTGATGTTCTGTTTGTGTCCTGCTTTCTCTCTCTTTCCCCACCTCTCTTGTTGGACTTGAGGTGCACAGACCTGAACTAGTCACACGCCACTCTGTTCAAGGGCACACTAACAACATCTGCACGTCCCTCATTTAAAATTGTCTTTTGTCTTCAATTCCATTCCCCTCCATCCCAGCACTCATTCTCATGTACTTAATATAGTCCCTCTTTCATATATATATATATATATATATATATATATATATATATACACATATACACACACACACACACTTCGTATGTATAAACGTCACATAAACTTTTTAGTGTCTTAAGTTTACATAATGATATTATGCCATAAATCTCATCTCATTCTGATTCTTTCCTTTGCTAGCTGGAAGTCTTTAAAATCCATGCGTATCACTACGGATGGTCTGTTTCATGATTTCTGTTGTAGTGACTTCTGTAATACTCATAAACCATGGTTTCCTATCCATTCCTCTATTGATGGATATTTACTGAGCTTGCCTCCAAGACTTTGCTACTACAACAGTTGTAGCATGAACGTTTTAATATATTTTTATGTATATTTCCACGTGCACCTGCATGAGAGACGTTTTGAAGGTATAAAGCAAGAAATGGAACTGTTGAGCTGTAAGATAGTCACTTACTTACTTTCCATAAGTGCCCTCGGAGTACCGTGCCAGCGTATGCTCCCATTATCAGCAACTGAGGGCTTCTATTCCCGCACTTGCTAATTTATTATCAGACTTTTGAGCCCTTGTGGATCTAATAAGTGCCAGCAGCATCTGACTGTTACTTTAATTTTCATTTCCAGCTTAACTATAACAAACGTCTCCTCATTCACTTACTACTCACTTGCCTTTCCCTTTCTAAGAATTGCCTGTTCATATTATCTGCCCATTTTGCTGCTGTAATTTCTGTTTTTTCTTGGTAATTTGCAGTATTCCCGTGTCCGTTCTATCTAGATTATAACTTTTTAATCAATTATACATGTTGCAATTAATCTTCTCTCAGTCTGTCACTTGGTCTGTTTGCTTTGCTCTGGTTTCATTTATTGAACAGAAATCCTTAACCTGCATGTGGCCAAATCCATCAGTTCTTATCTTAACAGCTAATACTTATGAACGTTTGAGGCCATAGAGGTCTCCTCGTACATTTTTGTCTTCTACTAGTTTTGTAGTTTTACATTTCACATTTAGGTCTTTAAACTCATCTGAGCTTTATTTTTTTATATATACAGGGAGTAGGGTTTTAATTAAATTGTCTCCATATAATAATAAAATGTATTATATAATCCATCCTTTACCCACTGGTTTGTCATACAGCCTCTGTTATAACACTGAGTTCCCACATCCCCCTGGCTCAAATTCTGTCCTCTCCTCTCTGCGTAGCTGTTCTCAGCTACTGTGTGAGATGTGTCACAAGTAATTTGTTATTACGAAGAGCTGAAGTAATGGAACATGAGAATGGTTTATTTTCTAGAAGTAAAATTGGAGAAAATTAGAAGTTATCCTTGCATTCTGATATGCTTTTTAAAAATACTTATTTTATTGTAGTGAGAACACTTAACATGGGATCTACCCTTTTAACAAAGTTTTAACGGTACTATACGTTATTGTTGACTCTAGGCACAGTGTTTCACAGTGACTCTCTGAGCTTATTCATCCTGCTTAGCCGAAATGTTATGCCCATTGATTAGTAATCCCCTATTTCCTCCTCCCAGCCCCTGGCAATCACCATTCCACTCTTTGATTCTATGAATTTGACTATTTTATATACGTCATATAAGCAGAGTCATGCAGTGTTTGTCTTTCTGTGTCTGGCTTATTACATTTACCATAATATCCTCAAGGTTCATCCATGTTTCACATATTGCAAAATTTCCTTCTTTTTTAAGGCCGAATAGTATTCCATTGTATACACACACTACGATTTCTTTATCCATCCGTTGATGGACGTTTAAGTTGTTTCCATATCTTGGTTATTGTGAATAGTGCTACCATGAATATGGGAGTGCTATATCTCTTCAAGATCCTGCTTTCAATTCTTTTGGATAAATACTCAGAAGTGGGATTGCAGGATCATATGGTAGTTCAATTTTTAAAGTTTTTTAGGAATCTTCACGCTGTTTTTCCATAGCTGCTGCACCATTTTGCATTCCCACCAACAGTGTGCCAGGGGTTCAATTTCTCACAGCTTTGATAATTCATGTTGTCTCTCTCTCTCTCTGTTTTTTTTTTCTTTAAATTTTAGCCAACCTGACAGGTGTGTGGTGATTCTCACTGTGGTTTTAATTTGCATTTCCTTATAATTAGTGGTGCTGAACATTTTTTTTCACATACCTGTTAGCCACTTATATGTCTTCTCTGGAGAAATGTCTATTGAAGTCCTTAACCCTTTTTAAAAATTGGGTTAATTTATTTTTATTATTTTTTGCTATTGAGTCATAGGAGTCCCTTACACTTTCTTAGGTTGGGAAGAGAGGAGGAGCCGTGTTAGTGTGTGGGCCCTGTAAAGGCAACATCCCCCAGCATGCTGACCCCTGCGGGCCAAAGAATGAGGCCCCGTACAGAGGCCTCTGAAAACCACTGGGCTTGGCACTAACTGCTGGGGTAGCTCAGGGCAAGTCACAGCCTCTCTGAGTCACAATTTCTTCATCTGCATAATAGGAATAACAATGCCTGTTCTGATGCGCTCAAGAGTAACTTCAAGGTCAAACAAGACAACATCTGTGAAAGTGCCTTGTAAACTAACAACAGTATAAAAATATAAGATAATATCATAAATTATGTTAGCATTAGTCCCGTTCTAGTGCTAACACTCCCTTCCTCTTACGGCTCACCATGGACTTGAGTTTTGCAATAAAATTGGTTACAAAAAGGAAGGAAGAACACTCCAGGATGGCTGTGAATTCCCAGCCTAGTTATTTTAAAAGTTGACCATTTTGAACAGAGGTGATCTAGGATGACCAAGGCCATGGGAGACCCCTGAGGGTTCCCATAGCCTGAGCCCTTCTCAAGCTCCTTCCCTCCTCTCTGCCCCGCAGCGCTGCAAGCTGGAGGCCGCTGTGGCCCAGGCAGAGCAGCAGGGCGAGGCGGCCCTGAATGATGCCCGCCGCAAGCTGGCAGGGCTGGAGGAAGCCCTGCAGAAGGCCAAGCAGGACCTGGCCTGCCTGCTCAGGGAGTACCAGGAGGTGATGAACTCCAAGCTGGGCCTGGACGTGGAGATCGCCACCTACCGCAAGCTGCTGGAGGGCGAGGAGAGCCGGTGAGGACGGGGCTCGGAGTCATTTCACATCTCCACTCGGGGCTAGAATAGCGCCTCCCTGACTCTTATCTCCAGGCAGAGAGAGTTCAAACTGGGAAAGACTCTAGAGGTCTTGGAGTCCAGCCTTTCCCCCCTTCTCAGATAGGAAAACTGAGGCTCAGAGAGGGGAAGGGCTTATCCAAAATCGCATCTTTTTGGTGGGTAAGCTAGAATGACGCCAGCCTGCTGCCTAGCACTCCAGTGATCTCTCCCCTCCTGCACTGCCCCTCCAGCAGCACCTGAAATTCATTCCAAGGCAGCTACTTTACCTGGTGGCTGAAGGGGTGTTTCTACATTCCCATCTCGGTGGGTTGTGAAAGCTGGAATCATTCAGAAGATTCATTAAAGCCATTTGATTTGGGATACACAGACAAGGGATCCTATCAACCTGGATAGCCTGATGTTCAGGACCAACGAACAGAAAGGAACAGCACGGCATCCTTGCCCAGCAGGGAAGACAGGGGCAGACACGCATCCATCCTCCAGGTGACTGGGCGTAGTGTCCCAGGAAGGCTGTCAGAGGCTTCTCTGGGGAAGAGGTGGAAGAGTTGAGGGGGTGGGAAAAGGACAGGACATTTCAGACCGCACTGAGAGTCTGAGCCAAGAATCGGGGCCGGGTGAAGTCGGCATGGGAGGGAGCAATGCGCACGGTACGTGGGCCTCTGTCTGGCCTTGAGGTGGCCACCTCATTGTTGTCTCTGAGCTGGGTCCCACCGGGGAGGGGGAGCAGACTAGACGGGGAGTAGACAATAGAGGTTAAGGTCACGGGCTGTGAGCCAGAGCACCTGGGTTCAAACCCCAGCTGGACACTTGGTAGCTTCGAACCTCTATGCCTCAGTGTCCTAATCTGTAAAACAGATAATCCTGAAATCCACCACTTCAGGCTGTTGCAAGGATTTAATGAGTCAATGGAACAGTAAGTGCAAGGAGGAACAGGTTATTATCAGAATAAGAATATCTCTACCCAGAATGGCCAGGCAGCGCTACGCTCATGGAGAGGCTCCCTATTAACCTGGTTAGTGATAGAAATGTGACAAGAGCAGTTCCCGAGGCAGCTGACCGTGCCTGACCAAAGCAGGTGAACTTTGCTGTCCATTTCCGCAGGCCTTTGGATGAAGCCACCAGAGCTGTCTCCGCCTTTGCACTCATAAGCCCCGAACCTGCTCACCAACATTCAGTGAGGCACTTGGCATTTGCACCGTGAAACTTAACTTTCATTACGATCATAATCATTAGGATGTTAATATCTCCACCATATAATGAATGATGCATTGTCCCCGACATATGAGATTTTAAAAAGTGGTTTAGCATTTTGTGCTTTGCATATGGTGGCCATTGTCCTTTTAATAGAACTTGTCCTCTTGCATATAACATATGTAATTGGATTACACAAGTCATGCTTATTGCAGAAAATACAGAAATAAGAAAATCAAAGCAGGCATAATCACTCAACTCAGAGGCAGCTGCTGCCAGCATTGTGGCTTAACAGGCACCATGATGGGCACCGGCTAGCATCTGCCTGAAGGGCACAGTTCCAAGGCTGTGGCAAAGCCAGGTTCACGTGGCAGCAAGGTGAGCAGGGAGCATATTTCCCCTGAGAAGTGTGAGGGGAGAAGGGCTCTGAGTTGGGCAGAATGAATCAGAGTAAAGCTTGCCTGGAGGAAAAATATTGAAGCTGGAAGTTAACAAGGGGAGACATAGAACAGGAAGGGAGTTTATGAAGAGCGCAAGTTCTGGTATAAATGTCTCATCCTAGTGAGATGTTTATAGTGTTCACAGCAACCCTTACATTGGATTTACTGCGGGCCAGGCTCTGCAGGCCCTTTACACACAGAGCTTATGACAATCCTATGAAATCATATTATCGTCCCCATTTTCTAGCTGAGGAAACTGAGGCATGACAAGGTCAGGTGACTTGCTCAAGGTCCCCACCTAGTAAGTGGCTCAGCTGGATCTGATCCCAGGTTGGCCTGGCTCTCAGGTTGAGCTTCTTAACCACCACATCCTCCAGCCTTCTTCTGAACGTACCAAGCCCAGTGTATGTCTAGGGTAGCATTTAAAATCATGCAATTAAAAATGGATCAATTTGGATGCTAGGCACAAGCCATTTTCTACCCAGAGGTGCTACCCAGTTAGACAGTAGCTGCTCCCATCACTTATTCTTTGGCTTTGCTGGAATTTTTAGCAGAGGGACCAGGAGGGTAACCCCATCCCCACTCCATGCCTACATTTCAGTACCCCAAGTTTCCATGGCTGAGAAGCAAACAGAGCATAAAGTGGCCTTTTAGATCCTGCCACCTAACATCCCCCTGTCCTTTGGGGGTCCCAGGGAGCAGTGCTAGCACAGATGCTTTCTACAACCAGCCCCCACCCCTCCTCTTCCCCACCCCCTCTCCCAGGACGGAGGAGAACAGGACTCCCTGGAGAGCAGAGGAACTGGGTTCTAACTGCTCACTCTCCTCTCCCTTGCAGGTTGTGTGAAGGCGTGGGCTCTGTCAATATCTGTAAGTTTGGCGGGGTGTGTGGGCGTGGTTCTCTGGGTGTCAGTGGCCTTACTATCAGGTGGCATCTAATTTGTGACTGAGCCTCTGTCCACAGGGTACTGAATGAGGGAGCTAGGAGCTGAGAGAAATGGATGGTCCCAAATATTTGGATCCCTCTGGAACATCCATGAAGCCTAAGCTTATGCCCGTGACAAATTCTGACCCACTGATCGGTTCTGCAAGAGTAAAAAGTAGCCTAAGTCAGAAGACACAGAATACTTCTCAAGTGGTAGCATATTTTGTAAGAAAAAAACACGAGATGTATATTTTGATCAGCTGGGGCCACGGAAGGCAACACTTAAACCTACATCTTTAACAATTCAGTGTGTATACAGCCCTTACCCTCGGTGTCTACCTGTTCCCCTCACCTTTCTAGCAACCATATTTCTAGATGATTCCTCTCCTGTGATCAGTCAGTTTTTGCCTAAAGATTTCAACATTTCAAGGTTAGTCAAGTAGAGTTAGGTCTGACTTGCTAACCACATTCCTTCAAGGGGAAGACAGCAATGGGTTTAGATTTTCCTGTAGTTGAAAATCATGTCGCTGGGTCCCACAGCACGTGAGAAGAGTTCATCATTGGTGCCAGGAAAATTCTGTGTCACACCATGTCTGCCATGGAAGAGAATTCTGACCCGGTGTCTTGTTACAGGTGTGAGCCGTTCCCAAGGTGGCGTGGTCTGTGGGGACCTCGGTTCCATCGTCCCTCGTGGCCTGGGTGGCGTGGCCACCAGCAGCAGTGCCCTCTGCTCCCCCTCTGTAGTGGGGGCCTGTTCCGGTGCGAGATCTGTGCGGTTTGCATAGTGGGGGGTGGGACTCTGGACGGATGGGGTCTGCCGGGGATGAGGGTGGAAAGTGGGGTGTGGGGAAAGATTTTCTCTCTCAGACTCAAATGTCAGTGTAGGGGTTGCCCCTTCCTGGGAACCCAGAAATAACTCTCCAGTTTCCTTCTCATTAGAGTTATGATTTACTCTTTGAGTGCAAACCCTGGATTTGGCATGCTTGCCAGCTCTGTTGATTTCTCTCCTCTGGTTGTCGGGGAAAGAATATAAAGGCTTTATGATATAAACTGCTTAGCTATTTTCTTTCCCCAACTAACTTCAGGTTAGCAGACATTTGCTAGGTACCGACCATGTGCTAGGCCCTGTGAGCGGGGACCCAGGTAGGGGACGGCAGTGCGTGGGTACACCCTCCGCTTGGCCTCAGACAAGGGGCTGCGCTTGTCCCCTTAGTGTGGAGGGGGCAGCGGGGGACGTGGAACTGGGACTCTGGGAGATCCCTCACTTGATCTAAGAGATTGGATGTTCCCAGAGCACCCCCTAACTATGCACATGTCAGGATTGGCTGAGGCTAATTAATCTTCCTGGGTTTTTGGTGGTGGTGGTTTGGAATTTTATTGTATTTGGGTGATTCCTATAGGATTCCTTTTCTCTTATGATGTGCGTGATTAAATGTCCATGGCAAAAGGCTCTCTTCTAGTAACCAGGTTAGTGCCCGCGCCCTTCTTATGTTCCCAGCCCACCCAAAGTGTCTCTAAGTGTGGTCCGTGGACCACCACCTACATCGGGATCCCTGAGGGGCGGGGTGGGGTGGCAGCTTGTTAAATATGCAGATGCTGGGCTCCATCCAGAACTACTGAATCAAAAATTCAGGGGTGAGCCCATGAATCTGAGTTTAAACAAGCTTCCAGGTGATTCCTCTGAGAACTGAAGTTTGAGAGTCACTGGGTTTTGTGTGCAGGTCAGGTAATTCTGGCCGTGGAGGTGACTTGCCCTCCAGTTCTCACAGGATCAGATTCATCTCTTTGCGTTTCTCCTCTGACTTTGTCAAGAGGTGAGAGCCAGTCTGGGCCACCCATGCCTGGTGGGTGGGGACAAAGGCAGAGAAGAGGAGGAGAAGGAAGCCTGTGTTCACAAGCACCAGCTAAGTGTCTGACATTTCATTCATTGCTCACAGCTATTGTATTAGTATCTTCATTTTACAGATAAGGCAATCAAGGCCCAGAGACATTAAGTCAGTTTCCTATGATCACACAGCCAATCCAAGATCCAAACTGAAGTCTAGGGAATGCCAATGTTCATATACTTTCCACTGCCTTGTCTCAGTTGTTCCTTCAGAATAAGCATCTTGCCTCATCAGAATGCTCCTGGACGAGGGGTTCTAATAGATCCTACTTTACTAGCCTGACAGAGATAAGAGGTGGAAAGTGGCATAAACGAACCTGCTGAAGCATTTGTAGAAACATCTCCCCCATGGCCTCTGCTCTCCAGGAACCTTGGACAGATCTTATTATGGGGCAGTTAACACACGTCTCTTATGTGGGAATCCAGAATTAAAGCCGAGACTTCTGGTTGGAGGGCACTTCCTCTGATGGCTCGGACAGGGGCAGTTGACCAGGGAACTCTATCTCTGGCCTATTTCTGAACTGACAGTCCCCGAGAAATCCCACCAGGGAAGTCAGTTCAAAGTCCCCTCAGATGCAAGGGTGCCCCCCCCCAGATGTGATGAGGGGGAGCGAGGGGTTTCTGGTGGACAATTTTCTTTCACTTATTTTACAAGAAGAGCTCTACTCTTCCCACCTTATGTTATTTGGAATTAAAAAGAAGTTGAAAAATCTTTTTAATTTAAAAAAATTTTAAAAATCTTTAAAAATTGGGTAGAAGATATTTTGCCACAAGAATACATATTTGATCTCAAGACGAAAAAAACACTTTGAGTAGTTCTCCTTGGTAATGCAGGCCTTCTGATGCCTTCAGAATGTGTCCCCCTGGGGCTCTGGGAGGCCAGAGATCTTTCTGAGTATAGTGCCCTCCTAGTCTCTCTCTGCCTCCTGGTCGTTAAGGGTCCCACAGGGGCTGTATCCTGGGCACATCTCAGTCTGGATACCGCCAAGTTTGAGCAGGGAGAAAGTCAGGTTCCAAGGGCATCAGATCTGCTCTGAGAGGGGAAGGAGTCCCACCAGGCACCTGCTACCCCGGGATAGGGTCGGGGGTGTGAAAATGGGGGAGGGTCTGCCTTTCCTTTCTGATGGTGGTGGTGGGAGGGTGTGAAATGCACATTTGTGCCTCGGGGGCGTTTCCTACATTTTTAACTCAAAGGCTCATCCTCTGAGTCCTGCCTCCTCCCACTCCTTTCCCTGGCTACCACTGTGCTGTCCCCTAGCACCAAGGGAGTAACAGCAGGGTATACAGACAAGGGGTGGTTCCCCCATGTCCACGTCCATTTCAAAAAAGGATGCACCTGGTGATTTCCTTGATCACGTGGTAAACCTGCATTTCTCACTATGCTCAGCTTGGGTGGGTAACGGCTTCAGTTCGTATTTCCTGAGATCTCAAGGACTGAAGCAGGGGACAGTTGGCAACACCAGCGCTGGGAGAGGGAGTGGCCTGGGAGTGTTTGTGCGGATGCTCCAAAGCAGAGGGGACTTGAGACGTGGCGGAGGAGGGCTTGTGGCCTCGGAGAGGAACAGAGAAGACTCCAAAGCCCAAGCACGCCTGAGTTTTTGAAAGGACTATAATCTGTTTTCATCCTTTGGAGATCCTGTATATTTTGGGGAGGAACACCGAATGTCTGCATAAGACTAGAATATGGAAGAAGGTCTGATTTCCTCTGATGGAGGTCTTAGCTGAGTTTGTGGAATTTCAAAGCAAAAGGGCACCTGGGAAAGAGCTCTGGAACCACCCACATGGGCCTCATTTATTATTTGAGCCTCTTGCTCTTTTGGCTTGTTCCTGACCTCTCAATTTCAGATCACTTGACTTCTCCTTAAAAATTTTTTTTTCTAGTAAAACTTTAATCCCCAGATATCTTGGAGTGTACCGTTGCTTTCCACAGGGCATAGCTCTTTTTTCGGCAGAAGACCATGGGAGTCCCAAAATCCTTTGAACCAAAAATTGCTCTGCATTTTTGCTGTTGGCTGCAAGGAGGGCTGGGGGGAGAGTTTCATGTTGACAAGCTGATGGCACCTCGAGCTGGCTGAGTTGGTTGACTGCTTTTTGCATACAAAGCATGAATTATTACTTATTAAAAAGGTTCTTGATGTCTTCCAGCTCCTGGTGGTTTGACTTTTCAATGCATGGTGTTGTGTTTTCTGGTATCCGATTTGGCATTTTAGTTACCCTTGGCCCAGACCCTTGGTAACATCAAGGTGTTTTCACCAAGCACAGACTCATTCTAGCAACCTAGTACCATGGGAGGCGGCAGGGCTGGAAGTCTCGTCTCACAGGTCCCCTGGCTGATGCCCAGAGCACGAAGGTCACTTGCCCAACGTCTCACCGAGACATGGCAGAGTTGATGCTCAAATTTTGATCTCCTGACTTTTCAGTCCCTGAGAGTTAACCTTTCCCGTGGCTGAATGATGCACCCTAAACTGAATGCTTGCCTATTGTGATCATGACTATGCCCTCAAGGCCCTGAGAGGTGGGAGGAGAAGGGGAGGGGCAAGACACTTGAAGAAGGTCTGTCTGGTGTCAGCCAGCAGCCTGAGTACTCAGGAGAGGCTGGCAGCCTCCAGTGGAGTTACAGCCCTTTGGGCCTGAAGTGAGGATTCATCAGAATGCACAAGACCTTAACTTCTCCAGGGGATGGGGCAGCAGAGGAGGCTGTCAAGGGGCCATCTGCCTGGAGTCCTCACAGCCTACCTGTTCTCCTAATGGGGAAATGGAGCTGCATCCAAGGGGGCTGATGTCTATACCTCCTGCTCCACCAGCTGCCTGAGTTCATCCAACCATCCTGGGCCTGACAAGTTCTGGAGCCCCAACCTGGGACTTAGTTGGGGGTCAGAGCCAGGAGACACTTCCTGCCCTCTAGGAACTTCCAGTTTGATCCAGGCTCCATACACACCCAACCACATCCCTGGCTCCAAGCTACAAAGATAGAATCAAGGATCCTGAGGGTTTGAGACACCATGGGGCAGGGAGAGGGGGATGTGTGCATGTGGGAGGGAAGGTAGGGAGCGGGGAGCGGAGGGAGCACTGAGCACAGGCAAATTGGAGGAGGGGTGTGGGATGGCCTGTGTGTCCATGTGGGATGGTGCTGGGCAGTCTCAGAGGATGGACTTGTCTCCATGGGGTGGAGCCTGCATCTGGGAAGATCAACACTGGGTGGAGGGGTTGCACAGGGCTAAAGAGCAGGTGGGGAAAGAGGAGCCTGCATTTGGCATAAGGAGCACACGCATTATGCTGGAAACTGGTTTGAATCAGGCGGCAGGGGATGGGAGTGATGAGTTTGAGATTCTGGCTGCTAAGGGTGTGTGGGGTGGGGATGAGGAGAAAGAGGTCATCTGGGGATCTGGAGCTGTGGTCCAGGCTTGAGTGGACTTTGGGACACTGAGCTGGAATCAGGCTATGGAAGTGGATGGGAAGAGGTAGAATCACTGGAGGGTTGGGGAAACACTGTAAGGGGGTGCTCAGTGTCAGACACGTTGGAGGGGAGGAGACACCATCGTTCACAAGACCACATATCTTTGCATTGCAGCAGCATTTATTGAAACACAGATTGAGACAACCCAGAAGGCGAGACACCCACAGACAGCCATAACAAGAGGGAGACCCAGGGAGTGGCCTAACCTCCAACCCAGCAGCTCTGCACCGGACAAATCCCTTCTGCACCGGCAGGGGGCCATCTGGAGCAACCATGCAGTTTTACTTGAAATGTGAAAGGGCTGGGAATGACTCTCTAACTGAAGCCCAGAGGAGAACCAGAAAAACAACTCCCTAAAATGAGAAGGTGGCGGAGATCGGCTGAGGGTCTTTCCCTCTGTGGGAACCCGTGGAAGATTCTGGAAGCAAGCACACATTTTCCATTCACACAGCATTTCGTGCTGGGGTTGGGGTGGGGGGACGCGGGTGGCACCCAGGCTCTACGCAAAGCGGACGGACCGGCTGCTCCCACAGCTGAAGCTGGAGACGCGGGGCTGACAGGGGGCGCAGGAGTCGGGCGCCATCACCGTGACGCTGCCCCCTGTGGCCACCGGGCCAGAGGCAATCTGGCGGCCCGGGGTGGTGCTATACGTGAGGCCCCCACAGGTGACTCCGCCGCGGGAGCTGCTGACGCCTGTGGGAAGAGAGGGGACAGAGAGAGCTGAGTGGCCTGCCGTGATGTCACCAACCCCGGGACAGGCCCTAAGGGGCTTCTGCACTGCAGGAGCTTCCTCCTCCTCCAAGGGGTTTAGTAGTTCATAACTCAGGCCCTGTTTCTCTCAGCAACTCAGCCCCTCTAAACCACCGGGGCGAGAAGGAAGCAAGGACCCCCTCTCCGTCCACCCAGAGGGGGACGAAGCTGCCTTTCCTCATTTTTTCTGGCCTGCAGTTCACATCGCCACCAGTGGAGGGCGTGCTCAATCGTGCCTTCTCAATGCTTCCAGAAGCAGGAGTTGGGGTGGAGTAGGGTAGGGGGACGGAAGGCCCTCTCCCAGACCAGGAACATTCCAGCTTCAGTGGGTTAGGCTGTCAGGTTCAGATTTTCCCATCAACAAAGTCATTTTTCTAGGGGGGTTTCAAGCAGGTACTTACAGACATTCACGGAGCCCACACCTTCGCACAGCCTAGGGAGAAAGAAATCTCTGTTAATTCTGGGCACTGAGCTGAATTCCTTGAGGGAGATGGTTGCTTGGGCACAGAGCAGATGGACCAGATGTCTACAGATCTAACCCCTAAGAGGCAGGAAATGCTCCCTCAGAGTCTGCATTAGATGCTCACTTTCTTAGCCGTTCTGACCATGGAGACAATGCCTTATGATAGAGGTGGGTGAGATTAGGAACTCCACTTGCTGCCTCAGTTTGAGTGTTCCAGCCCACCTTGGTCAGTGCAATCAGGCTCCCAGAAAGGAGAGTCAAATGAATGCAGCAGTGTGTGTGCAATGGCTTAGTGCCAATGAATAGCGCCATGCACATGGAGTGAATTGTCCTTATAATGCACGTGCCTCTGTGGGCTGGCCAAGGTGCAGCCTCCTGTAGGAAGCTATTTGAAGAGAATGGATTTTAGAGGTACATGTCTTGGGTGCAGGTCCCAGCTCTTGTACTTATTAACTGCATGGCCACAGGAAAGTCACTGAACACTGGGCTTTATTTCCTTATCTTTGGATGGGAAAAGTGATACCTACCTTGCTGGATTGTGAGGATTTAAAACGAGCACTTAGCACAGCCCTAGCACATAATAAGCATTCAGGAAATTATTATTATGACGCTTGAGCTGTACTGGCAGTGGGCAGAGATGCAGCTCACACTTGGGCTCAGGGAAATTCACTCCCAGAGGACCAGGGCCTCCTTCTAGGTCCCTCAAAGTCTTCCTGAGCCCCACCTGTGCTCCTCGCCCTCCAGAAGGCGCCTGTAGGTGGCGATCTCGATGTCCAGGCCCAGCTTGGAGTTCATCACCTCCTGGTACTCCTTGAGCAGGCAGGCCATGTTCTGCTTGGCCTTTTGCAGGGCGCCCTCCAGCTCAGCCAGCTTGCAGCGAGCATCATTCAGGGCTGCCTCACCTTGCTGCTCTGCCTCGGCCACGGCAGCCTCCAGCTTGGCCCGCTGTGGAGAAGGAGATGTGACGATGAGGATGAGAGAGAGAGAAGGCACAGCTTGGCCCACCTAAGCTGATGGGGCTGGGGCAGGGAGAGGAGGATCCCAGAGAGAAGGCAGGTTAACCACCTATGGCCAGGGAGTTACTGGGACTATAAACAGGAGGGAGGAGATGGGTGCTTTTCACCATCTCTCCTTGATGGCGGTTGCAGGGTGACCAGGGAGGGGGACATCAGTGATGTGGCTCACCCCAGCTCCAGGACCGTGTGAGGTGCCACAGCCCCTGCCCTCTCCCTGGGCCCCTGCTTCCTCATGGAGAAACTGTACGGCTTGTTTAAGGCCAGGCCTTTGCTCTCCTGGGGGCAAAGGACCTGGTGCTGGAGTGTGCCTGTGCTATGCCTTCAGGCCCTCCTGGAATCCCCTACCTGGCACTTGGCATTTTCAATCTCGGCCGTCAGCCTCTGGATCATGCGGTTCAGCTCATTGATCTCCTCCTTGGTGCGGCGCAGGGTCTCCCCATGTCGGATCACTGTGGCCTTCATCTCCTCACACTAGGGGGAAGCAGAGATGCTCCTGAGGCTCAGAATGGGACGTCCTGCCCCTTCAGGACATCTCAGATGATTTGCAGGTTGTGCAATGCTCAGCCTGTGCAACCATACATGGCAGTCCAACTCTGCCACCCAAACTGAATCTGTCTGTTCTTTTCTCACCATCCCTAAAGATCACAATCCCCAAACAAAAGAAGCCTTTTCTGATATACACCTCACATCCTTCCCACCGCCAAGTCTAGGAGGCAGGTGTCCTGGGCTACTCACCTTGCTGCGGTACCAGGACTCAGCCTCGGCCCGGCTGCGGCTGGCAACGTCATCATACTGAGCCTTGATCTCGGCGACGATACAGTCCATGTTCAAGTCCCGGCTGTTGTCCATCTTGACAATGACTGAGGTGTCTGAGATGTGGGCTTGGAGGACTTGGAGCTCCTGGGGGGCCAACAGCCAATGCATTTGGTTCTGGCACCTGGTCTGGGCCATGTGCTCCACCCTGAGGGCAGTGTCCACTC